ACGGTGAGACCAGACGTGGGACGGAGGAGTCGGGTCAGGAGACAGGGGAGGGGACACAGGAGGGGAATGAGGGGGGAGACGGGCCGGGGACGAGTCCGGCGGAGGGAAAACAGGGCCGTAGACAGGAAGAGGAGGAGACGGGCGGGGAGGAACCGACGCAGGGTCGGGGGACGGAAGGCCGAGCAGGCGAAGGGCGGACACCGGTGGGAACTGCTGCTGCGGCGGCACAACGGCGACACCTGGACCGCAAGCTGCTCCTCGGCTACCACCGGCACTCTCCACACCCGCACCCCCAGAGGGACCACCCGCAGGGCGACCGGGACGAGCACCCCCAGAGTCAGCGAACGGGGGCGGCGACGGCGGCGGCAGCGGTGACGGCGACGGCTGCAGCGGCGGCAGGGGCGGCGGAGGAGGGGACTGGGGGGGGGACACCTGGGGAGGGGCGGCGGGCGAGGACTGCACCGGAGGGCCACCAGAGTCAGAAGACTCCTCAACCGGGTCCACGGACGGAAGGGGGGTGACGTGGGAGACACCAGAGGGGGCGGGACGGGGAGGAGGAGGAGGAGGGGCAGGGACTACCGGGGAAGGGGTGACCAGGAACAGGGGGGGGTAACCGGGGACCACGGTGGGGGAAGCGGCGGTAGTAGGAGACGGACTCGTCAAAGGTGACGTCACGAGAGTGAAAGAAGCGGTGAGACGGCGGGTGGTAAAAGTGCCAGTCGGACGCGTCAAGGGGAAAACCGAGGAAGACGCAGGGAAGAGTGCGGGCAGTGAGCTTGTCCGTGCCGGAGGCACGGACGTGAGCAAGGCAGCCCCAGACGTGGAACGCAGACGCGTCACCAGGAGACCCAGTCCACAGACGGGTCGGCGAAACCTGCGGCTGCTGAGGGTGCGGCCACAGGTTAAGCTGGTGAGAAGCGTAGCGCACAGCGAACGGCCACAGAAAATGGGGTGCACCGGCATGGACCATGGAGGTGCGAGCGACCTCCATGACCAAACCGATGCGTCGCTCAGTGACCCCATTCTGCTGTGGGGAGTCCGGTAGGGTGAACGTCTGGGTGATGCCCTCCGCACGACAAAAGCGACCAAGGACACCGGAGGCAAACTCGCCACCACAGTCTGAGTGAAGACGCAAGACAGGGAGACCGCGGTGGACACGCGCAGAGACAAGCCAGGGGATGAGGGCGCCAGGCACGTCGGCCTTGCGCTCCAGGGGAAAGACTGTGGTGTAACGAGTGAAGTCGTCGACAAGCACAAGGAAGTAGCGCTCGCGACGCGGCCTAGGGACGGGGGCGGGGCCCCAGACGTCCAGGTGCAGGGTCTGCAGCGGCGCGGCGGTAGGGGGGAACGAGGAGGAGTGAGGGGCACGTCGAAGCCGACCCTCGACACAAGGCGTGCAAGGTGGAGCTGGGGAGGAGGGAAACGCGGGGAGTGAACCTGGGAGACCAAGGACAAGACCGTGCTGGGACATGTGACGCAGACGCGGGAGCGCAGGGTGACCTAGGCGGTGGTGCCACAGGAGGGTCGGGTGAGTGAGGGAGCGATAGGAGCAGGCAGCAGCAACCTGGGTAGACACAGCCACCTGAGGGGGCGCTCCAGCCGGGGGGGGCACGGTGTCCAGAGTGAACAGGCCGGATACCGGGTCCCGGGGGAACGTGGACAGGGGGGCACCAGTGGCGGCCTCAGTACAGACAGCATACCGCTCGTGACCAGGGAACGTAGTGGTGACGCCAAGGTCCTGGAGGCAGCCGACACCAACTAGGTTCCTGGAGAACGAGGGGATATGCAGACCTGTAAGAGAGCCCGACGGAACCGCCGGACAGGGAAGGGTGGTGGAACTGCGGGCGACTACCGGACCGCCGGAGGGGTCAGCAAGAGAAACGGCAGCAGGAACAGGAAGCGGCGTCAGGGTGGTGGAGTCGCGGAAGAAACACCGAGAGGCGCCAGAGTCCAAGGTGAAGGAAAGCGAAGCCGAGGGGGCTGGCGACGGAACGACGGCAGAAGCACCAAGACTACACAAAGCAGGGGATCCTACGCCTGACGCAGCAGGGGAGGGTACACTAGGCACACCTACACTAGGCAACAGTGAGTAATAAGCCGGAAGCACACTAGAGTCATCAGCATACATCACATGCAGAGCAGAAACAATGGCATCCATGTCCATATCAAAGATCTGAATCTGTCGACTAAGCAAACTGTGCCAGTCCGGGAGGTCTGGCGACGGGCCGAAGCGCTGACGAAAGAGGTCGTCTAGGCGACGAAAACAGAGGGGAGTGGAGTGACCGATCCTACCGCAAACGAAGCCGCGGCGAGGACCGGTCTGGATCTGGTACTGACAACGCCCGCCGGCAGAGCCACCACGCGGCACACCACCACGCGCCCGTCCACCGCCAGCGCCGGGCCACCCTGGCGGGAGGACACTCGTCTGCCGCGTCTGCAACGGCTGCTGCGGCTGCTGCGAAGGCTGCGACTGCGGCGGCTGCTGCAACTGCAGGGGCGGCGACTCAGCTGGACTGGGCAGGGTCCCCTCGTCCGCTCCAGCACCAGGCGACCCGACCCCACCACTACCCCCGCCCGCACCCCCGCCGCCCCCTCCGCCGCGCCAAGCCTTGGGGCGGCGGCCCTTCCCAGAACGGGCCTGCGCTGCAGCAGCAGTCTCAGCCACTGCGGCAGAGCCGTCGGAGAAGGTGCACTGAGCGGGGGCACAACCCTGAAAGATAGGGACAGGCACGACACCGCTCGCCTGGGCGATGGAGCGGTGACGGGTCTCTATCACAGTCAGGGTGTCGACAAAGTCAGTGAGGGTGAGGTCTGCGGGGTGAACACTAAGGAAGCGGTCGCGGGCGACAGCAAGGCGGTCAGGGAGGCGGGTGGCAAGCAGGTAGAGGGTAGAGGTAATGGGCGGCTGGTGGGCTCTAAGCTGTGCGTCAGTGCAGGCGGCGCGCCAGGTCTCCTCTATCGAGCGCAGGTGGGCAGCGAGGTCAGAGACAGTGGGGAACGAAGCAAGGTCAGGAAAGAGCAGCGGGAGGACCAGGCGACCCACCGAGGCAGCCGGAGGGGTGGAATAGCGCTTGATGACAGCATCTAAGTATGCCTGAGCAGTAGTGAGGGATCTAAAGCGAGGGCGCTCGGACGGGGGGAGGGCGTTGCTAATGGCAAGCTGGGCGACAGCATCGCGAGAAAGCCAGACAGAGCGCGCACGGGCAGTGGCAGCAGTAGACTCACGCTCAGTGGGTGTGGGGTCAGCGGGCAGAATAGCAGGAGGGTCTGGGCAGGGGAGCGTACCGTCAAGATGTGCGGAAAGCGGTTCACCATCCTGCCGCTGGCCAGTGAGTTGGCGGCGGAGGTCGGCAAGCCACGCCTTGAACTCTAGGGGCTGACCTTCAGCGTCGAAGCGAAGCTCCGCCGCCATCAGGAACAGTCCAGTGCGGTGCAGGGCGATGCAGTGCAGTGCAGTGCAGTACAGTGCGTTGCAGTGCGGTGCAGTGCGGTGCAGTGCGGTACAGTGCGGTGCAGGGCGGTCCAGTGCGGTGCAGTGCGGTGCAGTGCGGTACAGTGCGGTGCAGTGCGGTGCAATGCGGTGCAGTGCGGTGCAGTGCGGTGCAGTGAGGTGCAGTGCGGTGCAGTGCGGTGTAAGGCAGTACAGGGTGGTGCGTGGCGGTACGGTGCAGGGCTGTGCTGGGCAAGGTGGGGGGGAACCGTACCAGGGAGGAGGACGGGGCCGGGGCAGCGGGGCCGGGCAGGTGCTACCGGGCAGGGCGAGGACGCCGGGGCCGGGCTGGCACGACGGTGCCGGGCGGGCGCGACAAGGCCGGGCTGGTGCGACAGGGCCGGGCCGGGGCGACGGGGCCGGGCGAGCGCGACGGGGCCGGGCAGGGGCGACTAGGCCAGGCGGGGGCGACAGGGCCGGGCCGGTGCGACGGCGCCGGGCGGGCGCGACAGGGCCGGGCTGATGCGACGGGGCCGGGCGGCTGCGACGGGGTCGGGCGAGCAGGACGGGGCCGGGCGTGGGCGACGGGGCCAGGCTGGTGCGACAGGACCGGGCGAGCGCGACGGGGGGCCCAGGAGGGGCGCTGCAGGGGCCCAGGAGGGGCGCGACAGGGCCCAGGAGGGGCGCTACGGGGCCCAGGAGGGGCGCGACGGGGCCTGGGAGGGGCGCGACGGGGCCTGGGAGGGACGCGACGGGGCCCAGGAGAGGCGCTACGGGGCCCAGGAGGGGCGCGACGGGTCCCAGGTGGGGCGCTACAGGGCCTGGGAGGGGCGCGACGGGGCCCAGGAGGGGCGCTACGGGGCCCAGGAGGGGCGCGACGGGTCCCAGGAGGGGCGCTACAGGGCCTGGGAGGGGCGCGACGGGGCCCAGGAGGGGCGCTACGGGGCCCAGGAAGGGCGCGACGGGTCCCAGGAGGGGCGCTACGGGGCCTGGGAGGGGCGCGACGGGACCCAGGAGGGGCACTACGGGGCCTGGGAGGGGCGCGACGGGACCCAGGGGGTGGCGCGACGGGGTCTGGGAGGGGCGCGACAGAGCCCAGGAGGGGCGCGACAGGGCCCAGAGAGGGCGCGACGGGGCCCAGGAGGGGCGCTACGGGGCCCAGGAGGGACGCTACGGGGCCCAGGAGGGGCGCTACGGGGCCCAGGGAGGGGCGCGACGGGTCCCAGGAAGGGGCGCGACGGGGCTAGGGGGGGGTCGCGACGGGGCTAGGGGGGCGAGCGGAAGCGGTAGGTGGGGGGGGGGGGGGGATCCTACCTACGCGTGATACCATATCAGAAATTGAAGTGTAGTTGATACAGAGAGAGTACACACAATATAGCTAAGTGTTGTACCCTCTAAGAGGCTACCCTATACAGTCTATACAAACATAACACATAGACATGTTTGACAGTATCTGTCACAAGACTAGCTTAGCTAGGAAGCCATGAAATGGCATGAGGTTTATGTAGGAGTTAGGAGCCATGGAAATGGCGAGAGGTTTTAGGTCCTAGGATAGTTGAGGAGAGAAAAGAGGATCAGAATAGAAGAGAGAGGGATACAAGGAGGGATGTTGTACCCTCTACAGTAAGGTTCAGTAAGCCTACCAAGCCTACAATGATATACTAACTTACCGTATATAATTTAACAGTATCTAGATTCCAGCTTACAGTTGCTTCAACTTAACAAACAAATCCCATAGCTCACAATGATTGTTACAAAATTTTATGCTGCATGGAGCAAACGTGAGGCAAGATTGAGCTTCTTGAGGGTGCGATCATGCATCAACACTGTATGGACAGCTTCCACCAAAAGCAATCCCTGCCAAAAGGTTGAGTAAATAATAGTGTGAGCACAAAAAGAGCAAGTAGCAAGAAAAGTACTGCACTTCAACCCCTTAACTCATCAGCAATGAGACTTAACTCTCATCAAGCAAACCCATCAGCTCAGGGACCAAATTTGACAAATTAAGAAGTGTAAGATTTGCGAACACTCACTTGAATAGCAGCAAAGATGAGCACAACAGCAAAGAAGAAGTTGGCATTACCAATGCTCTGCACACACAGAAGATGGGCATAAAAGATCAAGAAAGGGATAAGAAAATGGTTGGCATTTGGCATGCTTCTATGGCATGGCAAACACAGGTGAGGAAGGCGCTTATGCCGGCACTACAACATAGAGTTGGGGGATCCACCGCATGGTGCATTGAAAAAGTCTGGGGTGGTTCACCAAAGAGTGGAGCATTTGATTGAACCAGGCATTTAGGTGACGAGAGGCGAGGAGAGGAGAGGAGAGGAGAGGAGAGGCGAGGCGAGGAGAGGAGAGGAGAGGAGAGGCGAGGAGAGGAGAGGCGAGGCGAGGAGAGGCGAGGAGAAGCGAGGAGAGGCGAGGCGAGGCGAGGAGAGGCGAGGAGAGGAGAGGCGAGGAGAGGAAAGGAGAGGAGAGGAGAGGAGAGGCGAGGAGAGGAGAGGCGAGGCGAGGCGAGGAGAGGAGAGGAGAGGAGAGGCAAGGAGAGGAGAGGCGAGGCCAGGAGAGGAGAGGAGAGGAGAGGCGAGGAGAGGAGAGGAGAGGCGAGGCGAGGAGAGGCGAGGAGAGGCGAGGAGAGGAGAGGCGAGGAGAGGCGAGGAGAGGAGAGGAGAGGCGAGGCGAGGAGAGGAGAGACGAGGAGAGGCGAGGCGAGGAGAGGAGAGACGAGGAGAGGAGAGGAGAGGAGAGGAGAGGAGAGGAGACGCGAGGCGAGGCGAGGAGAGGCGAGGAGAGGAGAGGAGAGGCGAGGCGAGGAGAGGCGAGGAGAAGAGAGGAGAGGAGAGGAGAGGAGAGGAGAGGCGAGGCGAGGAGAGGAGAGGCGAGGAGAGGAGAGGAGAGGAGAGGCGAGGCGAGGAGAGGAGAGGCGAGGAGAGGAGAGGAGAGGAGAGGCGAGGCGAGGCGAGGAGAGGCGAGGAGAGGAGAGGAGAGGCGAGGAGAGGAGAGGAGAGGAGAGGAGAGGAGAGGAGAGGAGAGGAGAGGAGAGGAGAGGCGAGGAGAGGAGAGGCGAGGCGAGGAGAGGAGAGGAGAAGAGAGGCGAGGAGAGGAGAGGCGAGGCGAGGAGAGGTGAGGAGAGGCGAGGAGAGGCGAGGAGAAGAGAGGCGAGGAGAGGCGAGGAGAGGAGAGGAGAGGCGAGGCGAGGAGAGGAGAGGCGAGGAGAGGCGAGGAGAGGAGAGGCGAGGCGAGGCCAGGAGAGGCGAGGAGAGGCGAGGAGAGGAGAGGCGAGGAGAGGCGAGGAGAGGAGAGGAGAGGAGAGGCGAGGCGAGGAGAGGAGAGGCGAGGAGAGGAGAGGAGAGGAGAGGAGAGGAGAGGAGAGGAGAGGAGAAACGAGGCGAGGCGAGGAGAGGCGAGGAGAGGCGAGGAGAGGAGAGGAGAGGAGAGGAGAGGAGAGGAGAGGAGAGGCGAGGAGAGGCGACGAGAGGAGAGGAGAGGAGAGGAGAGGCGAGGCGAGGAGAGGAGAGGCGAGGAGAGGAGAGGCGAGGCGAGGCGAGGAGAGGCGAGGAGAGGCGAGGAGAGGAGAGGCGAGGAGAGGAGAGGAGAGGAGAGGCGAGGCGAGGAGAGGAGAGGAGGGGCGAGGCGAGGAGAGGAGAGGCGAGGCGAGGCGAGGAGAGGAGAGGAGAGGAGAGGAGAGGAGAGGAGAGGCGAGGAGAGGAGAGGAGAGGAGAGGAGAGGAGAGGAGAGGCGAGGAGAGGAGAGGAGAGGAGAGGCGAGGAGAGGAGAGGAGAGGCGAGGAGAGGAGAGTAGAGGAGAGGCGAGGCGAGGAGAGGAGAGGAGTACAGGAGAGGGGAGAGAAGGGGAGAGGTGAGAGAGAGGAGAGGAAAGGAGAGGGTAGAGCACTCCGGTGAGGCGGGAGCGCTCTAGTGAGACGGGAGCGCTCTAGTGAGACGGGAGCGCTCCAGTGAGACGGGAGCGCTCTAGTGAGACGGGATGCGGGCGCATCGTGGGCACTAGGGAGGAGAGGGAAGGAGAGAGGAGAGCAGCTGGTGGCAAAGGTTCTGGGCGCCTTGAGCCGGCGCACGAACGCCTTCAGCTCAGCTCTATCATCTCGAGCATCCACAAGATGAGATCAGGTCCCACATAGTAGGGCCCATGGTGTGCACCGTGCACGGTGCACTAGGAGGTAGCCAAGAGGGGGGGGCATGGTGTGCCCTAGGAGGAGGGGGGGGGCATGGTGTGCCTGCCAGTGCCTTCAGCTCTCTCACCTTGAGGATCCAGAGGTCCCACATGGTAGGGCCCATGGTGTGCACTAGGAGGTAGCCGAGGAATATGATAAACACAAACCGCATGGCTGCAATGGGGAGCATACGAAAGCATGCGGGTGCACACAGGAGGAAGACGGGCGCATGACGGGCGGGCAAAGGCATTAGAAAGATTACGGCTTTGGAGCGCCTTGGAAGCATGGTGTGCAGTAGGAGGTAGCGGGGGAATATGACAAGCACAAAGGGCACGGCTGCTGTGGGGATCACGACGGGAGCATGCCAGGCAAAGGTAGAAGAGAGACCATGGGTTTTAAGAGCCTAGGAAGCATGGAGGTATTTTGTGACGGGTATTCACTAGGAGGTGGTTTATTTAGCAGGCGCCTTAAAGATGGAGGTAGCCCAGGAATATGACCAATGCAAACCGCATGGCTGCATGACTGCATGGCTGCATGGCTGCACGGCTGCATGGCTGCATGGCTGCACGGCTGCATGGCTGCATGGCTGCACGGCTGCATGGCTGGATGGCTGCACGGCTGGATGGCTGCATGGCTGCATGGCTGCATGGCTGCATGACGAACGAAAGGCTGGGGAGGCATGTGGGAAGCCTGTGCGGATTGAGTGACTATCTAATGCGAAGGACCGTTCAGGGAAGCCTGTGGGGCGCTGCAAATGGCATGCGGCAGGCAGGGAGCAGAACGTGGGGACATGGGGACGCGCGGACGTGGGGACGTGGGGACGCGGGGGCGGGAGTGACAGCACTGTTGAGGAAAGGAAACAGGCATGAGCATGAGTGAGTTGGAGTCGACTAAAAAGTCACCTTGACCACACAGTTGAAGAAACACGCATGAGCATGTGCGTGGGCATGAGTGAGTGAGGGGGGGAGTGGGGGAAGGCACCTGAGAGGTGAGGGAGGAAGAGTGGCAGCAGGGAAAGAATGACGCCCGACTCCCCCACCTGCAATCCACACATGGGATGGGAGAGGGGGAGAGCCATGCTAAGGGGGGACCATGAAGGGCAAAGTCATGTGCACCCAGGGAAGAGTGAGATTCAGGGTATTTCGTATGCAGGGAATATTGGGAGTATTTATGTGGAGAAATGGATCATCAAGCCAGGTGCAGGGGATAGGAGACATCTAGGCAGGAGCAAGCAGGAAAGGCAGTGGGGCAGGACAGCTTCTGACATGGGCAGGGCAGGGCTTTATTTTAGGCAGGGAGGTAGCCGTAGCCCAGAGTGAAGGCCTTTGAATTGTCCGGTTGACTTCCGAGGCACCTCAAAGACGTGACATGACTTCCAGTGGGGTGGTTCTTGATTCGACTGGAAAAGAAGACTATAAAGAAGGCATGGCGTACGGTGGGGTAGGGGGCACCGATGTGCACAAGAGCGGCAGGGTGAAGGCGAGGAAGAAGGGGCGACTCTTGCGTTGACTCAAAAATCAATTGCTGAGGCCCTTCAAAGGCATGACGTACAGCGAGGTAGCTTTCAAGTCAAGTAAAGGCCAGAAAATGACGTACAGCGGGGTAGCTTTGAAGTCGACCAACAGGTGGGGTAGGGGTGACGTACAGCGGGGTAAGGAGCGACGATGTGGGTGAAGAGGAGCAGAGCGAAGGCGAGGAAGAAGGGGCGACGGTGCAGGCGCAGGGCCAGAGGGGGCAGCACGAGGAGCAGCGAGGCGGAGAAGACGAAGGAGTAGAAGGGGCGGATGTAGGCAAAGGCCTCAGCAAAGAAATACCTGACAGGGAGGTGGCATGGGGGGGGGATGCAATATGACGAGACGAGCCAGAATGGATTTGGTATGGCGAGAACAAGAGAGAAGGAATTGTGTTTCATAAGAAATTGTACTCCATTGTGTGTTATGAGAAGGGACGGATGTAGGCAAAGGTTTCGGCCAAAAAAAAACCTAATCGGGGTGCAGGAGAGGATGTGGAGAAGCCAATCCTGGGACGTATTATCACGCCAGGGGTGTGGTGGATGTGATACTACGCACCAGGCTTCTGTATGGTGAGAAGGCCGTAGGAAAAAATACTGAAGGCTGGCGTACTGGGAAAGGAATACGAGCATTAGTGGGGGAGAAATACGTACCACCTCAGGCCGAAAATATTCTTAGGCGCCTCAATAATAGACTACTCGTACCGGGAAAGGGATGCAAGCGTTTGTGGGGAGGAGACACGTACCACCTCAAGCCGAGATTAGGCGTGAGGTCTGTTAGTTGCAGCGCGAACGGAAAAACTCTGGTGAAAGGGAGAAAAGGGAGAAACAGGAGCAAAGGGAAAGGGAGGGAGAGAGATGGGAGTGGCAGGCTTGGTAAAACCAGTCTTGGTAGAATCAGTCGTGGTCGGTAGCAGTAAGGGAGCATCTAACAAGGAGCATGCTCAATACAAACAACCAGGCCTGGAAGATCTAACAACGAGCATGCCCCTTTGGTTGCTTGGTTTTGATTTATGCCGTTTGAGTCAAGGTGACTTCTGGGTCGTCTCAAAAGTCACGTTGGCAGATCTAGCCAGCATCGGCTCCTTGAAGACACGGTTGACGCTTTGGTTGCTTGGCTTTCCCTTTCGCTCGGCTTTGCTCGCCTCGTCACCATCCATCCTCTTCGCATTCTTTTGGCTTCCATCCTTACGATTCGTGCTCTACTCGCAGGGGGGGCTGGATTCGTTATTCTTCTGCTCACGTACGTACACCCCCTCAGGAGTCAGGTCCCTAATTCACTTTACACTCTCAATATGAGGTGAGCTTGGGGGAGACAGCACACCAGGCTCAGAGCAAGTATGACATGCCACTAGCCCCCATGTGCCACTAGCCCCCATGTGCCACTAGCCCCCATGTGCCGCCACTAGCCCCCATGTGCCACTAGCCCCCATGTGCCACTAGCCCCCATGTGCCACTAGCCCCCGTGCCACTAGCCCCCGTGCCACTAGCCCCCGTGCCACTAGCCCCCGTGCCACTAGCCCCCGTGCCACTAGCCCCTGTGCCACTAGCCCCCGTGCCACTAGCCCCCGTGCCACTAGCCCCCGTGCCACTAGCCCCCGTGCCACTAGCCCCCGTGCCACTAGCCCCCGTGCCACTAGCCCCCGTGCCACTAGCCCCGTGCCACTAGCCCCTGTGCCACTAGCCCCCGTGCCACTAGCCCCCGTGCCACTAGCCCCCGTGCCACTAGCCCCCGTGCCACTAGCCCCCGTGCCACCGTCCCCCCTGCCACCGTCCCCCGTGCCACTAGGCCCCCCCCTGCCACTAGCCCCCGTGCCACTAGGCCCCAATTGAACAAGCAGGGAAGCTAGTAAGCCAGAGGGGGGGAGCGGAGGGGGGGGGGGGGGGTGTTGGGGGGTTGGGTAGGGTAGGGGAGAGAGACTGTGAAGGAGAAGACATTACTGGGAAAGGGCTGGCAGGAGCCCTCCATGAGGCAGCAGCAGCAGGTGGCAGGCGGCAGAAAGCACGAGTAACCAGAGGGCGAGGAAGAGGAGGAAGGGGGAGAGAAGGGGGTTGCGATGCAGGGGAGAGGGGCGAGGAAGGGGAGGAGACGTGGCGGTTGAGGAACGGCCGTTAAGTAGCAGCAGCAGGACCTGCGAAGGGGAATACGAAGGGGTAGGGCATTCAGCATGGACAAGTCACAGCCGCACGCATTCAGCATGTGGGGAAGGAGGAACGAGAGGGGCACGCGCACTGGCAGAAGGGCGGAGGCAGGAGAGAGAGCGATGGCTAGTGGCTGGGCAAAGGGCAGACGGTATACGCACAGGCACTATCAGCACGGCAGACGCAGGAGAGAGGGAGAGGGCTGGTGGCTAAACGAAGGGCAGATGGTATATGTACAGGCACTATCAGCACAGAAGAGGTAGGCGAGAGGGCGATGGATAGTGGCTGGACAAAGGGCAGACGGTATACGTACAGGCACTATCAGCACAACAGAGGCAGGAGAGAGGGCGATGGATAGAGCCATGCCCATGGCTGCTAGAGGCGGATTGCCTGCTCCACTCGGGGGGGGAGCAGAGGGGAAGGGGGACAACGGGGGAGGGGTGTGGAGGATGGGGATGGGGGGGAGAAGGGTAAAGGAAGTGCGTAGACGCAAGCCTTTATCAGCGATAGGACGAGAGAGCCAGAGCCAGAGGTAGGGAAAAGCAACAAGCAGCAGCGCTGGTGGCAGCAGCGCCGGTGGCAGCAGCAGGAGCTTCGCCGGAAAGTGGCGAGGCAGTAGGGTAGGGTAAGACGAGATTGCAGAAACGGCGCAGCACGTACCAGCAGCAGCAGCAGTGAGTGCAAGGGCAACCGGAAGCAAGAAGAGCGAGGAGGCGGCACCAGCGAGGGCAGCAGCGGCAGAGAGAGGGTTCCAGAGGAGAAGCAGGGCGCTCCACGCCCCAAGGCCCACAGGTGGTGGGAGAGAGGGGGGGGGAGGAGAGGAGGTGTTGGGGGAAGAGGAGGGGTTGGAGGGAGAGGAGGGGTGGAGGAGGGATCCTGAGAGGATGAGGAGAACAGCTGCTAGGATGTCAGATACGGTTAGAAGGAGAGTGCTGTATTGGGTATTGGGGTGTAGGGGTGTGGGCAGGGAAACGAGTGTGGGGAGGGCGGGGGAGAGGGAAGCACGGAAGCAGAGGAGAGAGAAATGAGAGTGAATCAGCAAGCATGCGATGGGGAGAGGGGGATGAGGAGAAGGGGAATGGGGAAGGTTTGCAAACGGATGTGGACAGGCAGAGCATACGAAGGGGCGAAGGGATGGGGGAATCGACGCGTGCGGAAAACAAACAAAAAAGGGGGAGGTGGGGGGAGGAAAGAGAAACGGGGGCGGGGTTGTGAGTGAGTGAGTGTGAGAAACGCGTCACCGTACAAGCTGAGAGGCGAGAGGACGCAGGGCGGCAGGAGCAGCAGGACGGGAGAAGCCTGGAAGTGAGGGCCTGCAGTGCAGAGAAGCGGAGGCGAGGAGAGGAGATGAGAGGGGGAGAAGGAAGGGTGGGGAGAGTGAGGGAGAGGGGGATGTTGGACGAGGCAGACATTCCGTGGCATGTGACGACAAGGAACTCCGCTCGACGCATGGGGCCATGGAGGCATGGGGGTATCGGGGTATGGAGGATGCGGGCGTGCGGGCATGGGGCCATGGGGCCATGGGGCCATGGGGCCATGGGGTATGCAGACATCGAGACATGGGGGCATGCCGGCATAGGGGTATGGGGTTTGGGGGGTCCACGGGCACGGGGAATATGGGGGCATGGGGTATATGGGGCCATGGGGACATGGGGTATGGGGGCATGCGGGCATGGTGGGGGCATGGGGTATGGGGGCATGGGGGTATGGGGGCATGGGGGTATGGGGGCATGCGGGCATGGGGACAATGGGACATGGGGGCATGGGGACATGGGGGCATGGGGCAATGAGGGCGATGGCGTACCAGAGTAAGGCGAGAGGCCGTGGTCCATGAGCCAATGCGCTTCCAGCACTGCACGGAGGTATGTGTGCGAGGTACGGGTGCGGGCGGGACGGGTGTTGTAGCAGGGATGGATGTGGCAAGGCGGAGAGCAGAGGAGGCGTGGCCAAGGCAGGAGGGATGCAGGCAAGTAAATGCAGTGCAGCGCCGGCAGAGGCGGATCATCTAGAGGGGCACCCAAGTCTACAGACGCCCTTTCAACCATGGCCGGAGCATGATGATTCATGGTTCCCAAAGGCCAGCCCTGGGTGTGCAAGTGCAACGCGTGCCATGCCATGCCATGCCATGCCTGCCTGCCATTGCCATGCATGATGCCATGCAGAGCCTGGTGTTTTTAAGAATTCTCAAAAACTCCCTCCAAAGCCATGCAGAGCCTGCCATCCACATGCATGCATGCATCTGCCTCTTCTGATTCTGCCCCTAATCCTCGAAAATCGGCTTTCCGTCACCCTCTATCCTCAATCACCGTGCCACGTTTCCCCCCCCACCCTGCACCCACACACCCAGGACCCTCCTCTCCCCTCCTCCCCACGCCCGTCTCGCGCCAGCACCCCCTGCATTCGGCACGCGGGACAGCACCCCCCGTACTCTCTCCCCATGCCTCCTCCCGCTCCGCCCTTGCTGGTTTCTAACCCCTTCACCCTCGCCTCGCGCGCTTGTCGCAATTCTTACACGCGGCGCGAGAGTTAATAGTGGAGACCACCTCGGGCCGCGTCTCTAGCCACCGCCCGAGCCCCATCTGCGCCAAACCCGCGCGCACGCACACCGCCGCGCATACGTGCGCCGCGAACCACGCCGCCTTCCGCCAGCCTGCGCGTCCGCGGATGCCGCAAGCGCTGCTGCATCGGCTGCCGGTGCCGGGATCCCCGGACGTCCCTCCGTGGTCTCCCCCGCTGTCGCCGCCCATTCCGCCCCGAACGACAGTGCGCAAAGATTAGCCTGCTGCAGACCGTCACGCGGGATCGCGCTACGAGGTGCGGAACTCGGCGCGCTTAGGGCTACGAGGTGCGGATGGCTGCGTTTGAGAGAAGACAGGATTGGGCCAGCTTTGGGAGCTCAGTGGTGTGTCAGGATTCCGCAGCTGAAGTATACCCGTTTTAGGGTTGGTGCTTTCCTGTTTTATGATGTTAACCGTGCGTAACATTATGTGGCGAGTTTTGGGCTCACTACACACTTTGTGCTGCAGCGAACTTCACATTAGCGAAGAATTGACGACGTAGCCGCGGCGGTGATGTTGCGTGTGCCATGTACCCAGCCACGAACACCCTCGCTCTGCTGGCAAAATTCGTCGCATACCCATCGCAGAAAATCGCAAACATCGATACTGTAAAACCGTCCCAGCCACGGTCGCATAACGCCTCATTTCTGTGGGCCATTCGGGTATCGCTCTTAGCTGAGACTGGTGTTTAGACATAAACGAACCAATACAGTACCCGCCAAGCTTGTCAGGCTGCTGCACAGCCATGGTACCTCGAGATTCTCGCCACAGATCTTCCCACCACAACCTCGCCAAAACCTCTCTCCGCTTGCTACCACATCTATGCATTCACGCAGCCACTCAAACCTCGTTACCTCGTCCTCGCATCTCATTCCTCTCACATCTCGTCGTTTTGCCATATCTCGTCTTCCGGAATCCCGTCGAGCCAATCAATCAGTTCCCCCCCCTAGGATCCGTCCGTCCGTCCATCGGCCGATCAGCGCTTCGGTTCCCTTATCTAAACCGCCTCACGCCTATCGGCGTCACCTCACCACCGGCTTCTGGTCATCGCCGCTCGTTCCATCAGCGCAGCAGGACGAGCTAGTCGAGCCACGGGATCCTCGAGCCAAGGGATCGTCGAGCCGCGGGCATGGAGGACTGTTGCGCGGTGTGCGCGGAGCCGTTGGAGTGGGTGGCGATCGGGCCGTGCGGGCATCGCGACGTGTGCTCCATGTGCGTCGCGCGCCTGCGAGTCGTCATGACCGACCAGCGCTGCTGCATCTGCAAGCAGTCGTCGCTCGCCGTCGTCGTCACCAAGGTACCCGCACCAACAGACCGCACCAACAGACCGCACCAGCAGACCGCACCAGCAGACCGCACCAGCAGACCGCACCAGCAGACCGCACAAGCCGTAGATGGAAGTAAGGCCTCCGCAGCCCACCTTTAATCCCTATACGACATTTGCAAGCAGTCTTCGCTCGCCGTCGTTGTCACCAATGTCTATCCGATCCCATCCCATCCCATCCCATCTCATCCCATCCCATCCTATCGCATCCGATCCCATTCAAATCCCGTCCAGCCCCATTAGATCCCATTAGATCCCATTCGATCTCATTCGATCCCATGGCCACACGCCTCTGCTCTCTTCCGGTCTTCTCGAATTTTGCCAGCCTCGTATTATCTTTTCCGCTGGTTCCTCGTTCCGATCCACCCTTCGAAGCGTTCAGCTCTCGTCTGCGCCAAGCTTCTACTTATTGCTCCCATGGCTCCCATGGCTCCCTTGTCTCCCCTCTACCCCGCCCATTTCTGAGGCCCTCTCCCCGACTCATAAATCAACCCCGCCCTCTCGGCTTCCATCCCTCTCCCCTTTCTGCCTTCCTTGCGAATGTCGCCCGGTTGTTCTCGCTTGCCTCGTCTCGTCGCAGGCCCTGGGCGACTACACGCGAACGTCGTTCGACTTCGCAGCGCTGCCGTCGCTCGTCGTCACGCCCGGGCGACCCGGGGGCGGCGAGTACTGGTACGACAGCGCCATGGGCGCGTATTTCGACGACGAGGCGCACTTCAAAGCCATGCGCGCAATGACGCGCCTCACCTGCGCCATCTGCGCCAAATCCCCGCCCGCCGCCGCCGCCGCCGCCGCTGGCGGAGCGCATCCGCCGTCCGCGGGCAAAGGCGCGCCGCCGCCGGGACTGTCGTTTCCTAGCGTGAGCGCGCTGAAGAGACACCTGAAAGAGTCGCACCACGTGGGCATGTGCGAGCTGTGTCTCGAAGGGCGCAAGGTGCGCAGAGAGAAGGGGAGGGGCGGGAGGGGGGGGGGAGGGGGGGAAGGGTGCGGGGAGGGGAAGAAAAGGGGACGAGAGGGAAGAGGGTGGGGGGGAGTTGATGTGGGAGGGCTAGGGGGAAAACGATGTTCTGGCGAGAGGTGTTGATGGGTGGGTTGCGCTGTGACCCTTCTCATCCCTCCTCTGCCACACCTTTCCCCCGTCGTCTCCTCTTTTCTCCTCCTCCCGCCCTCCCCCCCCTCGTGTTCCTGTCGGAGCAGCGGGTGTACACGAGGCAGCAGGTGGAGGAGCGGCACGAGGCGAATCAATACTCACCCCCCCGTCTCATCCCTTTCCCTTCCTCTCTTCTCTGTTCCCCCTCGTCTGCAGGTCTTCCTATCGGAGCAGCGGCTGTACACGCGGCAGCAGGTGGAGCGGCACGAGGCGGGCGGCGATCCCGAGGTGGACGGCAGCAGCGAGGAGGAGCGCGGGGGGTTCAAGGGGCACCCGCGCTGCGACTTCTGCTGGCGGCGCTTCTACGGCGACAACGAGCTCTTCCACCACATGTCCACGGAGCACTTCACGTGCCACATCTGCCAGCGGTGAGGGGGGAGGAGGGAGGGAGAGAGGGGGTGTGGGAGTGGGGCGGGAGGGGCGGGGGGGAGAGGAGAGAGAGGAGCTTTAAAGGGCAGGGCGGAGTGACTTCTTCATCCTGCACTTCTGTGGCGACAACGAGCAGCTCGTTTCACGGAGCACTTCACGTGCCACATCTGCCAGCGGTGAGGGGGGAGGGAGATGTCTGCCTGTCTGTGCATGTGTGCATGGGTTTGGGGAGAGCGGGGAGAGTATAACCTTGAGGGTTTGTGATGCATGTGTGTGTGTGATGCATGTGTGTGTGTGATGCATGTGTGTGTGATGCATGTGTGTGTGTGATGCATGTGTGTGTGATGCATGTGTGTGTGTGATGCATGTGTGTGTGTGATGCATGTGTGTGTGATGCATGGCCACAACTCCCTTTCACCTTCCCCCCCCAACACTTCCCACCCCTTCCCCCCTTCCCCCCGCCACACTTCCCACCCCTTCTCCCCCTTCCCCCCTCTTTCCCCCCGGCCCCCCCCACCCCACCCCATCCCACCCCCCCTCTCTCTCCCAATGCAGCGCCAACCCTGGCAACTACGAGTATTTTCGCTCCTACGTTGATCTCGAGGTAACCGATTCCTAAACCCTGGCCCTGTGCCCCTAGCATAGAACTCTGGCCCTGTGCGCCTAGCATCGTACTCTGGCCCTGTGCGCCTAGCATCGTACTCTGGCCCTGTGCCCCTAGCATCGTACTCTGGCCCTGTGCCCCTAGCATCGTACTCTGGCCCTGTGCCCCTAGCATCGTACTCTGGCCCTGTGCCCCTAGCATCGTACTCTGGCCCTGTGCGCCTAGCATCGTACTCTTCACCCTTGTTTCTCCCTGTTAACACCTATTGGCCCCCTCCTCCCCCTCACACCACCCCCCCGTGCCCCCTCCCCTTGTGAACGCAAAGTACACGAAATGCCTACACGCCTTGGTGTGCCTTCGGTTCCCTTGCCGGATTCCCATCCCTGCACTCCCACATCCTCCCCTGCATTCCCACATCTCCCCCTGCATTCCCACATCTCCCCCTGCATTCCCACATCTCCCCCTGCATTCCCACATCTCCCCCTGCATTCCCACATCTCCCCCTGCATTCCCACATCTCCTCCCGCATTCCCATCCCCCTTTTATTCCGCTCTCCTCTTGGCTCCCAGCTCCCCTCCCCTCGCCCCTCCCCTTGCCATACGCGTTCCTGGGTGACCAGGCCACTTTTATGTTGGTGACTTGGTGCAATCTTTTGAGTCGACTCAGAAGTCAGCTCGCCGCGCATGCGAGGAGTCTATTTTTGCGGCGCCTCAAAAAGAGACTCCTTACTGCGCATGCGAGGAGGACTTGGTGCGATCGTCAGAATGTGATCTTCAACCAATCTTCATCTCCTCCTGTCTTCTTTCCCCCCCTTCCTACCTCCGCCCTCGTCCCTACGTCCCTACCCGTGCTTCTCCACCTCCCCAGACGCACTTCCGCGGCGACCACCACATGTGCGAGGACAGGGAGTGTTTGGAGAAGAAATTCGTCGTCTTTCAATCGGAGATGGAGCTCAAGGTAGGCGAGGGGTGCGGCAGGGGGGATTGGTGAGACCGTGCGTGGGTGTGGCAGGGGGTGTGGCAGGGGCTGTGGCAGGGGGTGGTTGTGGGGAGACGGTGGGTTCTTTCAATCGGAGATGGAGCTCAAGATAGGCGAGGGGTGCGGCAGGGGGGAGTGGCATTTGCAGTGGGGAGTGGGTGGGTGAGTGGGTGGGTGAGTGGGTGGGTGAGTGGGTGGGTGGGTGGGTGGGTGGGTGGGTGGGTGGGTGGGCGGGCGGGTGGGTGGGTGGGTGGGTGGGTGGGCGGGCGGGTGGGTGGGTGGGCGGTTGCTGGTTGAGGCACTCCCGCCGGGGGATTCCTTTCTCGAGTCACGGTTTCTTCCCAGTTATTCTCCACTCGTGTTATGCACCTTCGTCTCCCCTCCACCCCACCCCACACCACCCCACACCACCCCACCCCACCCTCTCACAGCACCGACCCTCGGAGTGTGTGTTGCTGTCACTGCATGCGACCGCTACGTCGACTGAGCACCTTACCCCCACCCCAAACCCCCCACCACCCGCTTGGGTCTCTCCCCGTCCCGTCCCCTCTCACCTGCAGCAACACATAGCGCAGCAGCATGCAGGCAACATGAAGCGCGCTGAGCGCAACCGAGCACTGCAGGTACAAAGATTGGGGGGAGGGGGGTCAGGCGCGTGCATTGGGGCGGTGGGGGCAGGTGGTTGGATTGGGGAAGAGTTAAGGGTGATCCGGATGGGGGAGAGTCGGGCGTGGGGGCGAAACGGGAGGGGGCTAGGGCGGGGAAGGAGAGGAATCAGGGAAAGGTGATTCCTCGCAAAGGGGTTGAGAACTTGAGAATCGAGATGCACGTTGCAGTCCCATGTTAGGGTGAAAATGAATAGCACAATATTCGAATACTATTCGTATTCGACTCGTTTAAAGGGTATTTGGCGAGTAGAATACCAACCAAATATTCGAAAACATTTGACTGTCAAATAACCGGATTCGGTAAATACGTGAGAGTGCTATTCGACGAGTACTCGACTATTCGAGAAGTACCCAAATTCACTAAGGAGAGGCAGTAATAAAAGCACACACAAAACCACTTCAACCTCGTCAGCGTTTAAAAATTGAGCGGGTGGAGCGAAATCATGCTACTAGCATGCAGCGATGTGACAAATTTGCAGGTGCAGGTAAGGGCGGGTTGGAAGGAGTCATCTTTGTAAGTCATCATGGCATCTAATACACCCCTATTTTTTACACCTGTGGACATCGCTACTATCGTGAAGAATTGTGGGCCTTTTGTGACGATCTGACCATATGCCGGGGGGTTTAACCTTACATGCACAAATGCAAGAAATGCAGCATCAAACGATACTGGAATTCGATTCGTATTTGGAACTATTTGCCACTTTTCGAACTGTATTCATATTCGTCTAATCAGAGGTATTCGGCCAAATACTTTTTTGGCCATTATTCGGCTAATATTCGTTTACGGAACTCGAATTCGGAACCGGTCTTCGTTTTACAGCCTTAGTCCCGTGCCATGTCAACGCAACACGTTTGGTCCTCTGTGTGTCGGTTGAGATGGATTCGCGGAATCTCCAGAAACAAGGGAGTATCATGCATACTGTCTGTTGCCATGTCAATGCAACCCCTTTGACACGTTTGATCCTCTTCCTGTGTGTCGCTCCCCCTCGGGTTCTTCGCGCTCGGCCCTTGTGTTGTGCCTTGTTTTCATTTGCATACTCCATCCTTCTCAGCGTCTGCTTCTCCCCTGTTCCCTCCACAACCCCCTCTCTTCCCCCCGCACTCCCTATCCCCCCCCTCCCCCCCGCACTCCCTATCCCCCCCCTCCCCCCCGCACTCCCTATCCTCCCCCCTCCCCCCCGCACTCCCCCTCCCAACCCTCCCTCCCGTTGCCCTGTCAACAGATCCCCCCCTCTCAATTCTTCAACTTCCGCTCCCTGCGCCCAGAGGGGGGGAGGGGGCGAGGCAGGGGGGGGCGACAGGGGTACGAGGGGGAGGCGGGGGGAGAGGGCTGGGGCGCGGGGGGGGATTTGGGGGAGGGTATGGGGGGGGCATGGGGGTTGGTGTGAGCGAGGCAGCCGTGGTGGCAGCGAGTATTGAGTCATCTCAGTTGGAGAGGGCTTTAAGGGAGTCAGCTGCTATCGCAGGGGGAGTTGATGGTGCCGGGGGGAGTGGTGGTGGTGGCGGGGGAGGGGGAGGGGGAGGGGGAGGGGAGGTCGGGATGGGGAGGGATCTTTGAAACAGAAGCAACAACAGGCGAGGAGACGAGGAGGGGCTAGTGCTGCTGCAGACGATTCTCTATCCTCGGCCTCGTCATCTCTACCATCATCCTCTGCTGTCCCTGCCTCCTCCTCTCCTGCCCATTTCCCTCCTCTCCTCGCCCCTGACGCGTTCCCCCACCTCTCCGCCTCCTCCTCTCCTGCCCCTGCTGCTGCTGACCCAGCCGGCAATAGCACCACCGCTACCACTGGCGGCAGCGGTGCTGTCAACAGTGGGCCGTTAACCGAGGGCATGTCAGTGGCGGTGTATCGACAGATGGCACAGCGAAACACAGTCGCAGCAGCCGTGGCAGGAGGAGCAGCAGCAGGCGTGGGGGGCGCATCGCAAGACGCCCTCTTTCCTCCCTTACCCTCTGCTGCCTCTGCCGCTGCCGCCGCCGCTCCCTCCGCCACGCCTGACACCTGGGGCCCAGGAAAGGCCAGCAGAGCCGGCGGCAAGGGAGGGAAGATCAAGGGCGGGCTCGCAGTTCTTAACTCTGCTGGTCCTCTCGCCCCCTCCCAGCCCTCCGCAGGAGGGGGAAGGGGTAGTGCAGGGGGTGGGGGGGCGGAATGGCCAGTGCTTGGGGGGGCGGGGAAGGGCGGGGGAGCTGCAGGGGGGTGGGCGGCTGGGGGAGGCCGGGGGATAGGTGGCGGGGGGGGCGGTGGTGGTAGCGGAGGGGGGGAGGAGGAGCAGGGGCGTCAGGCAAAAGGGGAAGCAGGAGTGGGGGTGGGGGTGGGGGTGCAGTGTTACAGGCGGATGCGTTTCCGAAGCTGGGAGAGACTAGAGCGGTGAAGGATAGCTGGGAGGAGGAGTACGATGAGAAGCAGCAGGAGGAGAAAACACGCTCCCCCCAGCAGCAGCAGCAGCAGCAGCAGCAGCAGCCACAGTCGCAGCCACAGCAGCAGCAGCAGAAGGAGAGCCGGAGCAGCAAGCGGGTTGGGGAGCTATCCGGGGAAGAAGCCGCAGCACTCCGAGCAGCCAACAAGGCTTTAGTAGAGGAAATCAAATCCGGGCTAGGCGCGGGCAACAGCGCAGGGTTTGAGGATTTCAAAGACAAATCGGCGCAGTGGCGGTCGGGAGCGATGCTGACAGTGGTGTACTACGCGCATGTGTGTCGCCTGGGGCTGTCCCATGTGGTTCCACGACTTGCTTCCCTTTGCCCTGACGCGGGGAAGAGGGATGAGCTGCTGAGGGTGCATGCTGCGAGGCAAGCAGTGGTAGTCGGGGTCGGGGAGGGGAGTGGAGAAGAGGGGGGTAAGAGGGGCGGTGGGGGGAAGGGAGTGGGAGGGACAGGGGATGGAGGGAAGGGAGAGGGGGATGCAGGGGCGAGGGAGATGAGAGGTGGAAGGGGAGGCGGAAGGGAAGGGAGTGAGCCTGAGAGAGGGGGGAGGGGAGGGGGGAGGGGGAAGGGGAAGGGGCAAGGGGTTGGTGGCAGAGGGAAAGGAGATGGAGTGGCAAGTAATGGTGCTGCTGCTGGTTCTGCTTCTGCTGCTGGAGGGTCACGAGTAGCAGCTCTCTCGCGCCCCCTGCATGCATCCACCTCTGCGCCAGAGCTTGCTGCCTTGGCAGCACCACCCGCTCCTGCTCATGCTCCTACTTCTGCTTGTCCGGCGCTCTCACCTGCGCCTTCTCGCTTCCAGACACAGTCTGGGGCAGGTGCAGCAGCAGCAGGGCGAGGAGGAGGGGGCGGGGGTGGAAGGGGAGGAGTGGGTAGTGGGAGTGGCAGTGGGAGCAGAAGCAGCAAGGAAGCGAACGGAGCAGGGGGTGGGGGGGATTGGACGTGCAGTGTGTGCACCCTTGTCAACCCCCCTGTCTCTGTGCGCTGCTCTGTCTGCGGCTCTCTGCCCACCACTGCACCCACTGCACCCCTTGCACCGCCCGCCTCATCTCCCCCCCTTGCCCCAACCCCCCCTCGCCGCATCAGCAGCATCGCAACAGGCACAGCCGACGCTGGGGAAGCCACAGGAGGAGGAGGGGGTTGGGGGAAGGGCAAGGGGAGGAAGAGCAAGGGAGTGAGGGTGCGGCTGGGTGATGGGTCTGCTGCTGCACTGTTTGCACGCCTGGATGGGACGGAGAGCCAAGGGGCGCCGAGCTCGTGGGCTGATGCTGCTGGCAGATGGTGATTTGAGGGGCTGGGTTGGGAAGACGTGTCTCCGCTGGATCTGCCAAATCGACTCATCTTATCGATGCAATGTCGTTGAGAGGCATGGTACAACTGTTATTTTTGTTTGGATAATGGTTCGCATGATTGATTTCCGAAGTCTGCACTAGCCTGATGGTTGTACTTGTCATTTTAGACATGTGCTTATATGTAGAAGTTATAGGCTAGACGGGTTTGTGTTTGTTGGGCTGAGAAAAGCCCTTAGGATCTTTCCAGAGACTAAGTCCCAGTTGAAGAATGAGACTTGAGTAGTGCAGCTGAAGTTGAGTAGTTGAACCCTTGTACTAGTATATGAGAACAAGTGATTGATTAAAGAAGAAAGCATACAGCAAAATATAGAAAATAAGAAAGCAGTTGTAGAATACAGTTGCAGGAGCGGTTATCGAGTCGCACAGCGACTCGAATGTCGCTTCGGTTACCATCCGCGATGTTGTAACGGTCAGTCGCAACCTCCAGTTGCGACCTTTCGAGTCCCTTCACGTTCTTTGTCCGCCCCCTCGTGTAAGCTCCGTTGACTCGCGTACCCGTTGCGATCTTCCTCGAGTGTAGTGTTACACTTCAGAAACGCTTAAGTCCTTTGACATATTTCCAACACTCCCCTTCGTTTCTGGAGTGCTGACGTGTTCAGATCCGGTGACGTTTGTCTGCCCGGTCAGCAGCGTGCAGTAATCGAATTTTGCCTTCGCCAATTTCTTCGGCAGATAGTCTGCGGCCATTTCTGTCGTCGGGCAGTAACTGAGTTGAAGTCTCCCCTTCGCGATTTCATCATTGACGAAGAAGTACCCAGGGCGATGTGCTTGGTTCGATTGGCGAAGCCGTCCTTGTTCGCGATTTTGATCGCAGATTGGTTGTCGCAGAGGAGTGAGAAGGCGGGCAGGGTCGCAATCTTTGCTTCCTCGAGCAACTCTCGTAGGTAGAGTCCTTCCTTGGTCGCAGTACAGAAGGCGATATACTCTGCTTCAGCTGAAGATAGTGCGATTAGTTCCTGCTTGCTCGACTGCCAGGAGATAGTCCCGATAGGTTCTAGTCGGTAGATGTAGCCCGTTCTCGATCGTCGATTTTTCTTGTCTCCCGCGTGGTCGGCATCGACGTATCCGAGTAGTCGTACGGACGGTGTTGTTATTTTGCTGTAGGTAAGCCTGGTCGTCGGCGTGGAGACGAAGTAGAGTAGTGCCCGGTTGAGCTCCTCGAGATCTTCTTGTTCTGGCTGCTTCAGATGCGTCGCCAGTTGGCTCGCGCTATAAGAGAGATCGGATCGGCAGGTTACTGCTGCGAATAGTAGGCAGCCGATCTTCTGCTGATACTCCTGGATTTGCTTCGCGGGGAGTTTTGCGGAGGTGCTGTTGTTGTTCCCGTAGCGGTAGGGAGTCAGGACCGTAGTCGGTGTTAGACCGAATTTCTTCGCGACAGTGCCTGCGTACTTTCCAGCGTGTAGGTAGAGCGCCGAGTTGTCTTCGACGACGTTCAGTCCCAGGTACTGGGTCACTGCGTCGGACACCGTGAGTGTCAAGTCCTCTTTCAGCTCCCCTTCGAACCAGGTGGCGATGTCGGTAGTGGAACCGATGTAGAGCAGGTCGTCGACGTAAACGATGAGTAGGATATACTCTCTTCCCTTTTGCAGTTGGTACATGCCTTGGTCATGCGGCAGCTGTAGGAATCCGATTTTTACGAGGCGACCGTGAAGATGCTGCTGCCAGAGCCGCGGGGCTTGCTTGATTCCGTATAGGGATTTTATCAGCTGGCATACTTTCGTGGGGTCGTCGATGAATCCGTGGGGTTGCTCGACGAAGATCTCAGCGTCCACAGGTGCGTACAAGAAAGCATTTGCGACGTCGATTTGGCGCAGTGGTAGTTTCTTCGTGGCCGCGACGGCGAGTAGGATGCGTAATGAGGTGTGACGGGAGACTGGGGCGAATGTTTCTGTGTAGTCGGTTTCGTATCGTTGATCGAACCCTCGTACGACCCATCGAGCTTTGAATCGTTCGGTGGAACCGTCCGCATTGGTCTTGATGCGGTACACCCATTTTCCCGAGAGGACGTTCTTCCCGTTGATGCTTGTTGCAGGTACCAGCTTCCATGTATTTCGGTCTTGCAGAGCCTTTAACTCCTTTTCCATCGCTTCCTTCCATTTCGCCTTATGTTCCCCCCCCAGAGCCTGCGACAGAGTCGAGGGCTCGCGCGGAGATGGCGGCGGCGGATGCTGGACGGAGACCCATAGGCCGAGTATCTGCAGTCCCATTGGTGTGTGTCGAGGGGAATTTTCATTCCCGGAATAGGCTGCTTCGTCACCGTCTTCTGGATCAGGTAAGAAGTTTGGGCCGATGCGTTCTGAAACATTCGTGTCGACCGGGTGGGGAGTAACGTAACCTTGGTCAGCGAAGTGGTAAAATGTGTCGAGGTTGTTGCTATCGAGAGGATTTTCTTCGTCGAGTGGAACAGGTACGGAACAGAAAGGGAGTGGTCCGGCAGCTTCCGAGGCTCCAGGTATGTCTTCTTCTGCTCCGTCAGCCTCGGCAGCACGGTCGGCGAAGGAACGAAGGCCCGCGAAGTCATCGGTGGGGTCATGTGTGTTGGCAATGTTGTCCAGGTAATGCTGCAGCGTCGGTCGCTCGTAGAAGATAACATCACGTGATGCCACTGTGGTTTTGTCTTGTATGTCGAGGATTTTCCAAGCGTGAAAATGTTGTGCGATGCCGAGGTGTAGCCCCCATCGTGCTCGTTGGGTGAAACGTCCTGCTCTGGCTGTGTGGGGTCTGTACTGTACCATGCAACCGAAAAACTCCAAGTAATTTTGTGCTGCCCCGTTTTCGTGTCCATAGCAGGTGCGGTGATGCGTTGTTGGGAAGTGATGACGAGGACAACAGGTTGTGCAGGTGGACTGCATGTGTCATCGCGTCTGGCCACAATGTGGTGGGCAGTCTCATCCCCAGGAGCAGCTTCCGCATCGTCGTCTGCAAGGTCCGGTTCATGCGTTTTGCGACCCCCTGCTGCTGGTGAGCGTAGGGCAGAGACACCAGGCGTCTGATTCCTCTTTCCGCCAGATAGGTCCTGAAGCGTTGTGACTGGTATTCTAGTGCACCGTCTGACTGGAAGCTCTTGAGCTTTGTTCCTGATTCTCGTTCAGCGATGGGTAGCCATGTCGTGAAGGCGTCGAAGGCTTGATCGCGCGTCTTGAGGTTGTAGTGCCAAACATATCGTGTTGCTGCGTCGATAAACGTGATGACATAGATGACATACTGTAAAATGTCGCTGTAGACTTTTTCCATCGGTGCGTATGCAGGTGCGCTTGGGTTGTGATGAGATGGGAAAGACTGGTGGGGAAGATCGGCTTCGGGGCACGTAAAGCACCGTGCGCGTGGTCGTCGAAGTTCTTGGCCGCTCGTTGTTAGGAGGGCATTGCGTTCTAACACTTCGGCTTGGATGGTTTGCAGTATTGTACTGTTTGCAGGGTGCTCGAGTCGTTGGTGCCAGATGTCGTCGGGAGCGCGATGGCCGGGCGAGCGGTGGTATATGTCGGTGTTGGAGAAGAACGCGACGACCGTGGCGGGACTTCGACAGACTTCTCGTGTGATGGGCATAAGTTGATCTGCTTCAGTTGGCGGTCCGCGGATTGGTGGTGGTGGTACTCGGCTGGGTCCTGCTGCTGCTACTGCAGGTGATGGTTGGGAAGGGACACTTGTTGGTACTTGTCTTTCTTGTCTGATGACTGCTAATGCTCGTGTTCTCTCTGCTGCAGGTATGGTGTTGAAGTACCAGAATCCATCGGGGTTGAAGTCGGGATCAAGATCCGGCGGGTGTGTCCAGGCGGCGAACGACACAATCCCATCGCTGTCGGTAGTACCGCGGTCGGGGACGAAGTCCAACACGAAGACGCCGGACTTCAGGAGAGCACGACCGATGAAGAGACCGCCCTTCCCGTGGTAAAGGCGAAACTCGTTGGAGTAGGAGTCGCACTCCAGGTGAATCCCTTTTGCCATTAGCTGGCTGACGCTTAGTAAGTTGTATCCCAAGTTGTCGACGATGAGGAGCTTGTTGAGTTGAAGTATAGCGTTTGTCTCCATGGATTGTAACTGAACCACTCCTTGTCTGTTTGTTTTCAGGTTTTCGTTGTTGGCGACGGTGATGATGACGTCGCGGGTGAGGCGTCGCTCTCGTTGCATGAAGCGTCCGGAAGAACACATGTGTTGACCGCAGCAGCTGTCCAAGAACCAGGTGTTTCGCCCGGTGGGTTCGGCGTTGGCGACCGCAGCGTATGTCGGGTTGACCTCAAGTCCTTGTGAGCGCGGCGGCGGAAGTTCTTTTTCGTCTGGTGCGTAAGTGGGTGGTGATCCGGGTGCGCAGTTGTCGATGTGTACCATGCAGTTAATGATGTTCGGTGTCCCTTGTGCAGATGTGGAAGAGCGCCTTGGAGGGCTTTCTTGAGTGGAGGCGACGTGTGGGTCTACTGGACGATAAACACGAGGACGTGTGCAGTTGACTTTGGAATGTCCGGAAGTCTGACAGTTGTGGCAGAACGGTGGCACGAAGGTGACTCCTCTGTTGTCGCGTTGATCTTGTTTGCCGCGTCGATTGTAGTTGTTGTCGTTCCTTCGTTGAGTGTAGAAAACTAACTGCTGCTGCTTCCTGGGTTGTCTTTCTTCGAACAGGTCCATCTCCTGTTGTTCAGCGTGAAGCTCGGCGCAGAGGTGCATCTCCGATATCCTTCCGTGGGCGCGAAGAAGCGAGCGTGTGGTTCTCCATTCTGGCCCGAGCCCGGCGAGGACAAGCGTCACGAAGCTTTCTTCAGTGATTGTTCCTCCGCACAGAAGCAGGCGGTCGCGGAGGGTCTGGCAGCGACTCATATACTGCATCACCTTTTCCCCGGTCTTCATCTGTATTGTTGTCAGTTGTTGCATGAGTCTGCTTTGTGTCACGCTGTCGTTTGCTTGATAGAGACACTTGAGATGATGCCATGCGAGTTCCGCGGAGTTTCCATAGCTGCGATATGTTCTGATGCTCTGCTGTTCTTGTGGTGACAGGTTCCGCAGGAGAACTGTGTACGCCAACAGTGACTGATAAGTAAATATTTCTTGCTCCTTGGCAGTACCGTTGCTTGGGAATGGCAGGGACCCGTTGAAGTATCCCAAGAGATGCGCAGCCTCCATCAGCAGCTCGAACTCAAAGCTCCAGGTAAAGAAATCGTGTCCGTTGAATGGTGAGGATGTCTGCAGTTTAATCACGTGTGAAAACTGCGCCTGGAGACTTAAAATCTCGTTTGGTGTTTGTTGTGATGCAGCTGCTGTTGGTTGGGCACGG